GGGCAGCCTCCCGAGGCACCACCACCAGGCTGGGTGGGCTGGGTGAATCCAAGTGTTTCCCCCAGCCAAGGCAGGGGGCGGGCATCCTGACTGGAGGAGAAAATGAGGTTTGCTACCAAAATAATAGACCTGCCTGCTGGCTAGGCAAAAACAGCAGGACTGTTCACGGGTTTTGCTTTGATGTTTCTCGGCATCATAAAGAGAATTATGAGAGCGTACTTGACCATTCCTCTTTCCCTCTGTCCAACTCCTTAGGGTCAGCTCCTGGAATATCTCCCTACTGCAGAGTCACTTCAAAGTTCTCCAAGGCCCCAGGCTCCCCCACTGGGCCCATGTCACTTGTCCTCTCCTCCCCCAGTATCTTGTCTTCTGCGGTATCGCGGGGAACAAGTTGTAAAAATGAATATTTTTAAATTCATCCCCCAGGAGGGCCCTCGAAGGTGAAGGGCCCTTTAGGCAATTTAACTCTGTTCCAGGGATAAAATAAGTAAGAGTTGAGGCAGGCTGAGAGGAGAGAGGACTTAAAGGCTGAGTCATACTCATTGAGGCAGAATCCAAGCTCCTGAACCTTGAGCAGACCCCTCCTCCAGAGCCCAAGTCAGCGTGATGCTGGGCTCATTTAAGCCTCATTTTTGCCCTTGATTTTGGATGGAACCACCTTTGCACCTGTTTTCTTCATAGACCAGCTTAATGCTTCGCTAGCACCTGGCTCCAGGCACTGAGGCCTGCAGAGCACCACACCCCTGGGAAGAGGGGGACACTGTCCCCCTTTTCCAGATTCCTCCCTTTAAGTGACTGTGTGTTTGTTTGGACTGGCATCGTGCATCGCACTGTGTCTTTGGCAAGTTACAAAGTTCAAAAGACAAAATGCATTGGAAAGAGAAGCAGAAATAGAAAATCTGATTTAAAGGCAGCATCCCTGCCTGGCCTGACCTGGCTCAGCGGTTGAGCATTGGCCTAGGATCCAGGAGGCCACGGTTCGATTCCCAGTCAGGGCACATGCCCAGGTTGCTGGCTCGATCCCCAGTCGAGGGCGTGCAGGAGGCAGCCGATCAACGACAACTCTCTCATCACTGCTGTTTCCATCTCTCTCTCTTCCTCTTCCTTCCCCTCTCTGAAATCAATAAAGATATATTTTAAAATAAAATAAAGGCAGCATCCCTGCGATCCAAAATGTGATTCTCAGTTCTTTTCCCTTTGCTCTGGGGAGGCAACCCTTCATGGTCTGAGAAGGTGCTGGAGATGGGAAATGGGCCAGATCCCCCCAGCTCCCCTCCCCCTCTGGGGGTCTGTCCTTGAAAACAGGCTCATTGATCCTGTGACACAGAGATGCTCAGCCCTCAACGATCAATGCTTAATCACACACTACTGGGGGAGAGGGGTACTGATGCTTTTTATTTTATATCCAAAAATATCTGTTAGGTTTCCTATATTTGGGACAATATTTTGATCCCACTCAGCCTGTCTCTTAAATCAGAGCTTCTCAAACTTGAATGTGCACCTGAACCACCTGGGGATCTTGTTAAAATGCAGGTTCATATTCAGTGGCTCTGGTGTGGAGCCCAAGATCCCGCACTTCGAACAACCTCCCGGGAGATGCTGATGCTGCAGGTCCTAGGGCCACACTCTGAGTAATAAGGCCTCAGTTAATGGCCACTCCTTTGGTTTCTGCCTTGTATTTGCATCCCTGGAGTTGTAGCCTCTCCAGAGTACAGTAGAGGGACTTAGGTGTTGGGATGGCATCTATCGGTACCTTGACTGCAGAGAACGCAGATGTCTATTACCTACGCCAGCAGCTCCCCCTCCTCCAGGGCAGTCAGGATAAGAAAGGAGCAGGCTTGCTGGCGGCTTGCATCAATACTGTCCGGTAGAACTCTCTGCGACGATGGGAATGTTCCCTATCTGTGCCATCTAGCAGGGAAGACACGTGGATGTTGAGCACTTAAAATGTGGCAGGTGTGACTGAGGAACGAAATATTTAATTTTGTTTCATTTTAATTAAATATAAATAGCGACGTATGATTCCCAGTCACTGTTTGGACAGTACTGACTTAGAAAGCCTGTCCTCTGCTCACTAACTCCCTGACCCTCCACCAGCTGCATCATTACAAAAGTAATCTTGGCACAACACACACTGTGTGGGAACTCAAGGATTCCCTTGAATATACGTGGTTATTTTTATACTCATCCCAGCTTCCGACTGTTTTCTGCAAAAGCCTCTGGCTTTTATTTTGTTTTGTTTTTTTTCTCCCTCACTGTTTACCTGCAGATAGCCGTGCATTCTGTCAGGTTGAAGAGGAGACGGGCAGAGTGGCAGGACAGAAGGGGACCAGCACAGGTTGAAACCAAGTGGACCTGGGTTCAGCCCACCTGTGCCCTTTCCCTGGGCTGTGTGACCTTGGGCAAGGCCCTTAACCTCCCTGAGCATATGCTTCCCCATCTGTGGAAAGTAAGGGTGATTTCAAGGGTTAATTGAGCTCCCCAGTGTTGAAACTCAATACATACAGTGATGATTACTATTGTGTGAATGTCCTTTGTAAACCATAAAGCCTTGAGTAAATGTGAGGCAAAACACTGCTATCGAAATCCTTTTTTTAAAACAAAATGCTCTGAAACTTGGAGGAAACAGCATCAACCAGACTCAGGAGACAGACAAAATTCTCAGAGCAATAAATCTGAACATTTTATGTCTTTTGCATTGAGCAAGCATCTTGCCGTTAGCCCTGAATCTAGGAAACTGGGAGGAAGATTTGTTGACTGTCCAAGGGCTTCCCGGGACCAGGCTGGCCTTGGGGGATGCTCAGGCAGGCGTGGAGGATTGAAGGAAGATGCTGAGAGCTTGCCCAGGAATCTGGCAGAGAGGTGTCCCTGCTTTGGGGGATGTTTGAGGTCCAATTCATATTTCCTCTTCACAGGAGTCCTGATGAACCCTGAAGGCAAAGATCTACAGAAGAGGAAACCAAGGCTTGCTCAGGTGTAACAGCTGTTCTTGGCCCCTGGGCAGCTCTACGGAAGCCCAGAGTTGCCATCTCCCCAGAGCTGAGCCTTTTCCCAGAGGCTCGCTGACCTGAGCAGTCTTGTAGGCCCACCCCTCACCCTCACCCTTCTGAGCGTTGAAAGACAGAAACACCCCAATCCCAGCAGCACATCTCTCCAGCCCTGGGCCCAGAGACCAGTGGGGTGTCTGTGTCTTAAACAAAAACAAAGTGTAGTATATAAAAGTAATCTGGTAAAGAAAACTTCTCTCATTTATTTTCCAGGGGCCTTGGCTCATCAATCTTCCCCTCCTAACCTGCTTTGTGCTCTGTTAGCTTTGCTTCCTGACAGAATGGAATTTGCTTTTCTAATGGCATCTGCCGTATGCGGGGTGTCCCCAAACATTAATGGTAATGAGTTGGAAGTGGCACAGTTGGAAGCCTTTGGAAGCCAACACCAGATGTCAGGCCCTCAGTGGATGCTTCTGAGGATGTGGAGCCAGAGCACTGGGCAGGGGGCTGGGTCCAGGACCCACAATTCCTGGTCCCTGGGAATCATTCATCCAAAAGACACTGCCCACCATATGCCAGGTCCTGTGTGGAGCTTGAAGACAGGGCCCTGCCTGCATGGTACTGTCATGGCTGGTTACCCATGAAAGACATAAGTGGTGGTAGTGACAAGCCCCTGCCCCCACGCAGTCCACTGGGTCATCCCCTGGGAGGTGAGCAAGAGATTTGGACTCAGACAAACCTAGGTGCCAAAACTCAGGCCCTTAATTTTTAAATGAGGCAAATAATCCTCACCCCACCGGGTCGCTTGAGAACAAAATGAGGTCAGGTAAAGCACCCACCACCAAGTCCAGGGCACAGTGGGGGTTCAATACCTGTTAAATCCCACTGACATCCCAAACCGGACAGTTGCACAAGCGCTGGGGTTAGCGGTGATCTCCAAGGATGGCACCGCTGCTTCCCTGGGCTCAGGTCCAGAGGCTTCAGTCGCTGCTGCCCTCTCCTGGGAAAGTGCAGACAGAGCCTCCCCGGGCTCCTGGGGACGCTGACATAACGGAAAAGAGCTCCAGTGGAATCGAGGGTCCTGGGGCTTCACAGACAGGAAAACATTTCCTCAAACCCCACCCACCTCCATTCCCAAGGTCCTTCGCCAAGCATGCCAAATGTTGCTCTTGGAAAAATCACACCTGTGGCGATGCCAAGCCCAGCAGAGCAGAGGGCAGCCAGCGACTCACCGCCCAGCCCCGCAGCCGAGGTTGGCCCGCCCACCACAGCCCAAGGAGGGCTTCCTGACCCCTCCTCGCTGGAGGAAAGCCGGGCCCTGACCGGCGAGGGTCTCGGGCCTGCACCCCTACCTGTGTGCGCCGGGTACCTCTGTCTCTGATAAACCTGCAGAGGCGGCCTTCCAGCTGGACCACAAAGGAAAGAGGCGTTAAATTTTGCCATTTTTCTCTTTCTAGCTGACTGAAGACATTTTAGAAGCAAGTGGGGTGAGAGTGGAGAGGGGTGTGCCCATCTGCTGCTTTAGACGGGCAGGGCCGCCGGAGGTGGACGCCAGGCCTGGGGGCCCATGAGCCCACTCCCCTGGAAGCTCCGGGCGTGCGGACCCTCCCCCCTCCGTCCCAGCCCCGCCCTTCTCCGCGTCCCCAGCCTGGAGTTGCTTCCCGCCTCCGCCTGCAGAGGGGCCGCGGGGAAGTGGATGTGCGGGAAGGAGGCACGGAGACGGCAGCAAGGACAGGCCTGAGGATGGCGGGGGCAGCAGGGGCTGCGGCATCCGGTACCGACTCGCCCAGGACCTGCTGACGCCG